ATTTTAAAGGGCGAAGCTAATGTTATTCATTATAGATGGCGTTGTACAAAAATGCGTCATTGTGACGACACGTTCTGTAGGAAGTTCTTTTCTATTTCCAAAAGTGTCTTAAAAGTTCGTCTACGTGTTTATAACCTTCTTCAACTTTGGCTCATTCCAAGTTGAACAATGTTACCGTTACATTTCGACCCGCCATCCAATTCAGGTCACATGGCAACAAGATACCGCCTCCCACGCGCGTTGCAGCTACTTACTTTGAGCAGTTGTATAGATACGATACTTGAGCCCATCAGGTGAACGTAGTGTAAGTGTTGAGACACGATCTTAGTTTACAAAACACATAACAACAAAAAGAGTCTGCGAATTTAACGCCCCATATTTAAAAGGAATCTAGTCTCCAAATACACGTTATGTGTAAGGTTGAATAATTAAAGAATAAAACTACTGGAAAAAAAAAACTATTGTAGGAAGTGAGAAATTAGGCTTCCGGAAGCCACCTACCCATTCGACAGCTAATTAAATTAAATCTTAGACCGAAAAACTTATATTATTTTTCGTTAAAAATTCGAGAAAAAATTATCGGTATAATTTTTGGGTCGAAAGATCATCATGGAGTCAAATGTAGAATAAATATGTGAGTTCGAAGAATATATAGAGGTCGTAAGTTCGTCCAAAAGTCACAATTAATCTTTAGTTTAGCCGCACTTACACACGTTCCTCGTGTTCGTTTCCAAGAAGGCTTATATTGCCTGTGTTACACCGTAAAGTCAATTATCCCAACATCTTTAAGTACGTACTTAATGATTAAACTTGAGACGTAAAGATAAAATCGGTACTTCTAACATGGAAAGGAAATTATTAATTTTCTGAATAGAATGATTATATTACTAAAGTCTTAGTTTACGTTACTTCGTTTTCAGCACACAAATTCAGTCGGTTCTTTTTTTTCCTGAGACGTACATTTCCGAAACTCTGCCAAGAATTTTGTCGAGCTTTTTTACATTTTAGTTTCTCTTTACATTAGTTGTTAGTTTCTTTCTTCTTTGTTTCTTGATTTTTTTTACATTTTAGTTTCTCTTCACGTTAGTTGTTAGTTTCCTTCTTCTTTGTTTCTTGATTTTTTTACACTTTAGTTTCTCTTTACATTAATTGTTAGTTTCGTTCTTCTTTATTTCTTGATTTTTTCACATTTTAGTTTTTCTTCACGTTAGTTGTTAGTTTCCTTCTTCTTTGTTTCTTGATTTTTTCACATTTTAGTTTCTCTTCACGTTAACTGTTAGTTTCGTTCTTCTTTGTTTCTTGATTTTTTCACATTTTAGTTTCTCTTCACGTTAGTTGTTAGTTTCGTT